CGTCTGTTGTCACGGGCTTTGGAGCCGGCGGTAGAGGGGGCTTCGTCGCCATGGTCACCTTTTCGGGCCCCGACGGAGGCGTGGCGACGACAGCCGACCAGGCGGCAACGAGCTCTGGCGACGGCTCATGAGCTCCGGCAATCACCATCGGGAGAGCAGGGAGGTCGTGGAGGCCGGAGGCTGGTAACTAGCGGGACAGGCGGGGGTCCGGAGAATGGGTACCAAGCAGCGGCGAGAATGGCTTTAACAGCGTTGGCAGCAACTAATGAAGACGAGGAGTTGAGGGACCCTTCTTATAGGGAAGAATCCCTCCCACCAAGCGAAGATGAGGAATCGGAGGGAGAAGGCAGGGTGAGAGAGGCAGGAGGGAGAAGAGCAGGCGGGGTGGGCCGCTCGTCCACGCAAATACCACAGGCGGATCAGCAACCGTCAGATGCAGATCAAACGGGTGACATTCCAACCACTGATACCCCGGCAAGGACGAGCTGCAGTAGACGAAATCGAACCGCCGCTGCCAATATTGCGACGCGCCAAACTATTCTGCTCCCCCGCTACTTTTCGCCAGACGAGCTGGCGAGGCGTGAGGACTTATTCGCGGCCATCGCTGGCTGGGACATTGGAGCACTCTGTGACAGTCGTCAGCCTACGCTGTCACGTCGTTTACCGCCAAACCTATGCCAGCTGTTTTCGCAGGCGCTTCTGACACCGTTACTCCACCTTTCGCGAAACCCCGAATCCGAAACGGGTTGGCGTCTGCTGCTGTTTCTTCCTCGACTGACACTTTGCCAAACATCGCCACAGCGACCAGACTGGCCGGGGGTCAAAGCCAGGCTCCGGGCCTTCCAGCGTGGCGAATGGGAGCGGCTGTACCTGGACTCGGTGGACGCGGTCAACACACCCCCACCGCCACGACACCAGCCTGACTCGACCGGGGTCATCAGCCGAGCTGAGGGGCTCGCGAAACGGGGCAGTCTACGCCGAGCCGTGCTGGCTCTGGAGTCAACGCCAGTCTGCACCCCCAGCCCGGAAATTTTGGAGGAGCTCCGTCAGAAACACCCACCTGCTGCGCACGAGGCGGTGACCTGGCCCGTGCCACCCGAGACGAAGCTGTCCATCACCCACGCCGAATTCGCCAAGATTCTGAGAAGATGCGAGAATGGGGTAGGGGCCGGTCCGTCAGGCACAACATTTGAGCACATGCGCGACGCGGCCACCACCAACGCAATGATCAGCACCCACCTGCACGCCTTGGTCAACACCCTGCTGGGGGAAAATTTGCCAGGCCCGGTCGCGAGCCTCCTGACTGCGTCACGGCTGATAGCCCTGGCCAAACCTGGGGGAGGGGCCAGACCAATCGCGATAGGCGAGTGTTTGACAAGGCTGACAGCCAAGGCAGCCCTGACAGCAATGGGGGAAGCTGCCCGAGAATATTTCTTGCCACTGCAGTACGGCGTGGCAGTCCCAGGTGGAGCAGAGACAGTTATCCACACAGCCCGAGCATTCCTGGATGCCCGCCCAAACTGCCTGGTCCTACAAGACGATATTTCCAACGCATTCAACAGTATCTCGCGTCAAGCCATCGCCACAGCGTTACACGACCCCAAGCTCTCGCCACTGCAGCCGTTCGTGAAACTGACCTACGGTAACCCGTCGCAACTGCTCCTGGACTCGAAATTTAACTGCGAACCTTTGCACAGTGAACGGGGTGTGCGGCAGGGGGACCCACTTGGCCCGCTACTGTTTGCAGCAAGGATACACCCCACGCTTCGTGACACTGCAGAAGCACACCCCGACGTGCTTTGCTTGGCGTACGCGGATGACGTCAGCTTTCTAGGTGACCCATCGCGCACTGTAGCGGCTTTCATGCACTTCACAGCAAACTTAGCACAGCTGGGCCTGACGCATAACCCGCAGAAATGCGCGGCGTGGAGCTCAACCGCATTATCACAGACTCAACTTCCGCCTGGGGTGCCGTTTTCCAAGGACGGAGTACGGCTTCTAGGTAGCTACGTCGGGACTGACGTCGGAGCAGCCGGTTTCCTTTCGGGCCAGTTAGAGGAGATGGCTAAGCCATTACCGCTGATAGAGCGAGCAGACCCACAGGTGGCAGCACTACTCTTCACGCGATGTATTTCCAGGCGCGTAGCTTACCTCATTAGGACGACTCCGCTCCACTTACTCCCTCGCGCCACCTGGAGCCAGTGGGGAAGGGACTTACTCATTACCCTACTCACCTCATGCGACATCCGCGTGCCAACATGTAGCGCCGAGCAAAAACGGGTCTGGGAACAGGCGTCATTGCCGACGTCGCTAGGCAGCATAGGCATAACGGACCCGGTCGTAGAAGGGATCTACGGTTTCACAGCGAGTTTCACCCAAGCGGCCCTTTTTCTATCCTCCCTGCCGCTAGAACCTGACAGTGCGTTGACTTTGGCCAAGATTCACATGGTGGCACCCCGGGACGACAGCACACCCCTGCACTCGTGGCTCACAGAGTGCGAAGCAGCCCTGCCTCTAGACGCGCGGGAAATCCTGGAGAAGGAGCGGTTAGAGAGATCGGATGTTAGGCTTCAGCACGTGCTTGGATTGAAGGTGCATGGGAGCAGATACGCCGCACAGGTCCAAGCAACTAGGCACATGCAACCAAACCCTCTCTCGGGCCATACGCAGCGGATGTTCTCGCTGACTGGGTACGGCACCGGGGATTGGCTGGCCGCGATCCCAATCGAGGCCACTAGACGAATAGGCCCCGTGCACTTCGCGAATGCTGTGCGGTTCCGGCTGGGCCTCCCCTTTTCCACACCTAAAAACTGTGACTGCGCAGAACAAACGGCTATCACAGATCCCCGCCTCCCGAACCACCTCCTCCGCTGCGGCACGGGCAAGCATCGCATTAACACCCACAATGAGCTGCGGGATGCGTGCATTAGCATGGCGCAGCACGCAGGTTTCATCGTTCACAGCGAGTCGGCTGTTTTCTGCCCCATCGAGGAACAAACCGCGGACTTCACCATGACGGATAGAAGCAGTGGGGCGGTTTACGTGTGTGACGTGACAGTCACCGACCCTATCAGCACGAGGGACCGGGAGGCAGAGAAAGGCAGGGGCTGGGCGGCACGGGAACAAGCTGATAAGAAAATCAAGCACTATGCCAACCGGCCAAAGACAGTGGGTTTTTTCCCACTAGCGGTCGACACTTATGGCTGTCCATGCGCGGAAGTCCCGGTCTTCCTTAAACTACTTGCGGATACTGCGGCTCGGCGGCACTTCAACGCCGACTCAAAATCTTTCTACGCCGCCAAGTTTCTGCACCTATTCCGGCAGCGCTGGTCAGTGGCCCTTCAGAAGGCCCAATCGGTTGGTCTCCTTCTCAAGTTGGGCGAGGCGGCAGCAGCAGAGAACCCGCCCGTAGGAGGTATCGGTCAGGAGCTCCATCCAGGGGATTATTTTGCGGTGGTTGAGCCCTACCTAGAGCTCTAGGGGAGGAAATGGGTAGGTAGTGCATGGGTTTCTGCTTTGTCCTAGAATTATAAAACACCCGCATGCATGTACCTTGCAACTATATCAATACAAGGACCATTAGAGAGAGAGAGAGAGAGAGAGAGAGAGGCACTAGGATCTAGTCCTTAGCCTCTCTTAAGCCTCTCTTAAACCTCTCTTAGCCTCTCTTCCCTAGTATATAAGGCCTAGGAGCTCTTGTTTCCAGTCATTGTGTTCTGTTGAGTTCCTTTCACTCTCAGAATCCAGCGGCTATGGAGAGAGAGAGCAAGAGAGAGAGGCACTAGGATCTAGTCCTTAGCCTCTCTTAAGCCTCTCTTAAACCTCTCTTAGCCTCTCTTCCCTAGTATATAAGGCCTAGGAGCTCTTGTTTCCAGTCATTGTGTTCTGTTGAGTTCCTTTCACTCTCAGAATCCAGCGGCTATGGAGAGAGAGAGCAAGAGAGAGAGGCACTAGGATCTAGTCCTTAGCCTCTCTTAAGCCTCTCTTAAACCTCTCTTAGCCTCTCTTCCCTAGTATATAAGGCCTAGGAGCTCTTGTTTCCAGTCATTGTGTTCTGTTGAGTTCCTTTCACTCTCAGAATCCAGCGGCTATGGAGAGAGAGAGCAAGAGAGAGAGGCACTAGGATCTAGTCCTTAGCCTCTCTTAAGCCTCTCTTAAACCTCTCTTAGCCTCTCTTCCCTAGTATATAAGGCCTAGGAGCTCTTGTTTCCAGTCATTGTGTTCTGTTGAGTTCCTTTCACTCTCAGAATCCAGCGGCTATGGAGAGAGAGAGCAAGAGAGAGAGGCACTAGGATCTAGTCCTTAGCCTCTCTTAAGCCTCTCTTAAACCTCTCTTAGCCTCTCTTCCCTAGTATATAAGGCCTAGGAGCTCTTGTTTCCAGTCATTGTGTTCTGTTGAGTTCCTTTCACTCTCAGAATCCAGCGGCTCGCGCCGGCCGCCTTCGGCGGCCGCCGCTCGCTAGCGCGGCCTTCGGCCGCGCGTGAGGGGTGACAAGGGAACGAGGAGACACAACACTAGAGCAGGAAGGCATACAACATGGTGCGGTAGCAACATCAACAGCATCAACACCCCCAGGGTGAACTTCAACGCCATGGGGAAGCCCAAGGGCCAGGGCAAGGGAAAGACAGCGGCTACTCGGAGAGGATCCAGCATAGTCGCCCGTCCATCCAGCGCAAGACGGATGCTGCTGCTGACACGAGGCCGAGTGGTGCCACCCGGGCAGTCTCGGCTAGCTCCAGCAAAGCCAGGGGGCCGGGCCCGAGGGCAGCGCCAGGGGAGCCAGGCCAGTACCCAATCAGGGGGAGGAACTGCTGCAACTCCGCCGCTGCAGCCTCCGCCGCCGCCAGCTCCGTCGGCAGCAGACCCTGGATCTCAAGCCCTTGCCGCTCCAGGCACAGGTGGAGCTGGTCGAGGAGGTACGATAGCAGGGTCAAGCACGTCCCCACGTTCATTGCGCGCTCTGCGATGCCATCAGGGGAGCCCTCGCCCGTCGGACTCCATGGCGCGTCCGGAACCACAGCAGGGGCAGGTGGCGGCACTGGAGGAGCCCACTGCCCCCACGGTATCGGCACCTCGCGCCCACCAACGAAGAGGCGAGGGAATGCGCCCGCGGACGGACCAGCCTGGGGAAGGGGGGGGTTACGGGGAGAAGGACACGGAGGGAGGGGTGACACGGGGGGTGAAGGCTGCGGTCGCAGCAAGGGGGGCTGAAACCAATGGCGCGGAGGCGGATGTGAGGCCGGAGGCGGCGGTGGTCGCGGCGCCTGGGGCGGCGGCTGGCGAGGAGACGCCTGACGGCGCTGCTGCGACTGAGACGACGGCGGGGCAGGTGGGGCAGGGGGCAGGCCCGGGCCAGCCTGACGGGACTGCCGCTGCCGCTGGCGGCGGCTTAACTTCACCCTCTGCCACCCCCCCCCCCCCAGACTGCATCACGGATTGCAGAGGAGCGGGTGCCGGTGTCGGAACAGGGGCTGCCCGTGGAGGTGGGGCTGGCGGCATCCCCCGTCCCGGTGGCCGCGGCTGAGATCGCGGCGGTTGTGACTGCTGCGGTGCGGGGACAGGAGGGTGAAACGGACGAGGCAGATGCGACGGCGGCCGCCGTGCCCGCCGGAACGTCTGCTGCTGTCGAGGGCGCATGCACGCGGGGGCGCGGCCAGGCGGCGGATGAAAGACAGCGCCGCGAGAAGAGCATCGCTTCTCCCCCCGCTGCTCCCGCTGCCCGCGGGAAGAAGGGGAAGTGGCCTCGTGCCCAGCCAGCAGCGAGGCGGCCCGAAGCAGGGCTGGGACCTGGTTCCCCGGGACCCCTCCTGGGCTGGCTGCTGCCAGAGCAGTCGCCACAAGAGCTAACGCGTCCGTCGTCATCGCAGGTCGGGCCGTCCCAGCAGATCGCCGCCGAGGATATTCTTCCCGCCGGCGGACAAATACCCGCTGACCGGGGGGCAGTGCAGGAACCAGAGATGGCGCCACCCGTGGAGCCGGGCTCGGGCAACCGCGCCCCGCCAGCAGCGACAGAGGTGGCGGCGGCAGCTGGTGAGATCGTGCCCCCGCAACTGGGAACCAGGCGCTCGGCGAGGCTGGGGGCGATCACCTGGGGCCCGCCACGTGGCGGATGAACGCCGTGGATGCCGGCAGGACGGGGGGGACTCAACAGCGCAGCAACAGGAACGGCAGGCGGAGCGGGAAGGGAAGCTCGCGGGGGCTTCCGCGGAGGCCTGAGAGGGGGACGGGGGGGGCGCAACCGGATCCCCAGATCTGATATTCCTGTTAGAACAGGCCCTTGGCGGGAACGCCACGACAGGCCGGAGAGGCAGGAAGCGGTAGCGAATGAGGAGCGCGAAGGTTCTGACAACTCCAGGAATGACCCAGAGTTTATGGGCGGTGAGGAGGAGGAGTCTGAAGAAATCTCCTTGGACGACGAGGAGGAACCGGCAAGGAGAGCCACACAACGCCAAGAGAGGGCGGCGGGTGGAGATGCCCCACAAAGTCTGGGGGGGGAAGGAGAACCAGCCACGGAGGACACCGATGTGCCATCACCTGCCGACCTGGCAGGCAAGGATGACATCTGGCGGGTTGCGGGGGCCTGGAACGTGGATGTCCTGTCTCGGGGGGACCAGCCGTTTCTCGTCCGCCGCCTGCCCCCACAGATCCTGGACAGATACTGTCTGTGCATGCTAGCCGCACTTCATCGCTTGGGCAAGAACCCAAGCTGCCCAGGTGGCTGGTTCGTTCTACAATTCCTGCCGAGGCTCACCCTGAGGCCTGCCACCGAACCTGTATCTGGGAGCTGCTGGACACATATCGAGGCACGTCTGCACAAATTTCAACGTGGCGAGTGGGAGGACCTTTGCGAGGAGGCTGGGGTCATCCCCGATACGGGGGGTCCGATGCGACATCAAGCGGATGACGAAGGTGTTTGTGCGCGGGCGGAAGGACTTATGAAAAAAGGGAACATTTCGAAAGCCGTAGCGGCGCTGCGAACAAGCCTACTGGCAGAGCCATCCCCAGCTACACGAGAGGCACTCCAAGCGAAGCACCCTGCAGCGGAGGAAGGCATCCCGAGCTGGGTAACCGGAATTGGTAACTCCGATCTGTCTGTCCCGCTGGATACACTTCGCGAAATCTTGGCGAAGTGTCCGAATGGGGTGGGGGCAGGGCCTTCTGGAACCTGCTTCGAGCACCTGAGAGACCCTGCCCTCGCCAACCAGGAGGTGTTGCTTCTTTTCGCCGGTGTAATCAATCGGCTACTGAGCAGTTTTCAAGAGCAGCACGTACGTGACTTGCTGCTGCCGTGCCGTTTGATCGCCCTGGAGAAACCTAATGGCGGGGTTCGGCCGATCGCGATAGGCGAGGCACTTCTTCACATAGTTGCTAAAGCGGCGCTTCATTCTCTAGCACCGAAGATTAGGGAGTTCTTACTACCTGTGCAGTTTGGAGTAGCGGTGCCAGGAGGAGCAGAGTGTATTATCCACTCCGTCCGTTCCCTACTTCGAGAAGATGAGAGCCGCGTCGCCATCCAGCTGGACATTGAAAACGCTTTTAATAGCGTTGAGCGACGGGCCTTCCTTGGGTCGTTACAATGGTCAAACCTGAGCCCTCTCATTCCTCTCGTCCGGACTCTTTACGACGGTCCATCACGGCTGCTTACTGATAGTCGCCTCGGCACCGACCACATTTTGAGCTCCCGCGGTGTCAGGCAGGGAGATCCCTTAGGTCCCCTCCTGTTTGCAGTTGCAATCCAGCCGGCCCTCTTAGGTATAACGGCAACGATGCCGGAAGTGGCGGTGGTTGCCTACGCGGACGACATCACCATCGTAGGGCCTAGGGAAGCAGCTTGCCGAGCTTTCACGAAGTTAGCAGGGGACCTAGCCGATTGTGGGCTGCGCTGCAACGTTGCCAAGTCCTTGGCGTGGTGCGCCATACAGCAAGGAGACCAGGAGGAGCTGCCTCTAGGCCTCTCCGCGGACCCAGGGGGCATTAGGATCTTGGGTAGCCCTATCGGCGGTCGGGAGTTCTGCACCAGCCAAGTAAGGGCGACGCTGGAAGAGGCGGCATCACCACTCCGCCTCATCTCCCAGCTCCACCCTCAGACGGCCCTGCTGATTCTCTCGCGCAGCATCTCCTGCCGCATCTCCAACTTACTACGGACGACACCGGCAACAGCCCTGGGCCTGGAGGAGTGGAGGGGATGGAGCGAGGCTTTAGTGGGCTCGGCCCTCGCAGCGGCGAAGCTGAACATACCAACGGCGGAGTTAGACCAAAGTCTCCTGTGGCGCCAGGCGACTCTGCCCGTTCGGCTCGGCGGTCTGGGGATCATAGACCCTATCTCGGAAGCGCCAGCGGCCCACATTGCGTCAGTGACGGCAGCACACTCCCTACTGCAGCAGCTGGGCCTTCCCCCGGAGTGCCTGCTCCACAGGGCTATTACGCTGCTCGCCCATGACTGGTCCCCCCCCCCCCTTGACTTCAACCCGCTGACTGCCCTTGAGGAGGGCCTCCCAGCACAAGCACAGGCGGTCCTTGGCCAGTTCAGGGCGGACAGTACGGGCAGTGGCAGCTTGCAGCTAGGCCTATCGAAGCAGATTAACTTGCAGCGGGCGGCGGACCTTCTGGGCGACACAGTCGTGGACAGGCCGGGCAGGCACAGGGGGCATGGGATCAGGCTGATTAGTTTGAAAGGGGTGGGGGCGGGCGACTGGCTTCACGCTGTGCCCACGAGAGCTGACCTTACCATCTCCCCTGGTCAGTTCTCCTTGGCCTTAGGCCTCCGCCTAGGCATGGAACTGCCGGTAGCTGAGGTGTGCCCATGCAAGCGGCCGGGATCCAAGATTCGGGATAAGAGCCTACCGAACCATCTGCTACGATGCCAGGATGGGGGAGATGCGGTCCGAACAAACAATGCCCTCGTGTACGCTGCACTACGAATGGCGAATGAGGCAGGCTACAAGACCTACCATGAGACCTCGGCCTTCTCGCCACCTGTCCTTAGGAAGAGGGCGGACTTGGCAATCCAGGATCAGGAGTCGGGAGAGACCTGGGTGACGGATGTCACTGTGACGGATCCGGTTCTGCAGGAGAGGGACGTGAGGGCACGCAGGCCGCCAGGCTGGGCGGCAGAGGAGGCTTCGCAGAAGAAGCATCGGCTGTACGAGGGGCGACCGAGCTATGCTGGCTTCTTTGGGCTGGCGGTGGAGACCTATGGGGCAATGGCTGCTGACACCGTACAATTCCTTCGGATGTTGGCAACCCATGCCGCCAAGAAGAGGTTTAGGCACGGCAGACTCACTACCACGGCGGCTCGGCTCACAGCGCATTACCGCCAGAGATGGTCGGTGATGCTACAGCGTAGCCAGGCAATCTCCCTCCTGTCCAAGTCTAACCGTGCAGCGGAGGCGGCTTCCCCACAGGCAGCTGCAGACCCTTGGGCCCCACGCCTGGCGGACCTCTGGCAGATGTTCCCTGACGAGTATGAGGAGCGGGAAGCTCCTGCTAGGGCACCTTAGATGACCGTGGGTGAGCAAGGGGACGGTGGGGAAGCGGGGGGACGGTGAGTCGGGGGAGGAGGAGCTGGAGGGTGGGGCACGGGAGGGTGTAGCAGGGGCGGCTAGGGAGAGGAGGAGGGGGAGAATACAGGGGGCTGTAGCTTCAGGGCTAGAGACCGTCCGTGTTAACAGGGTTTTTGGCCTTCTCTTGGGTTGGACTGGGATGGATTGGGGCTCTTTCTGCTCTTGCTCTGCTTGCTTGCTAGCTTAGCTACCGTACCAATATGCTTGCATGCCTTGCTTCGGCCAGTCTGTCACCAACGCTATGCCATGCCTGTACCCTATGAACTCTATCAATACATGACTGCTTGAGAGAGAGAGAGAGAGAGAGAGAGAGAGAGAGAGAGAGAGAGAGAGAGAGAGAGAGAGAGAGAGAGAGAGAGAACAAGGGTCTATCCTCGAACCAAAGGGCGCAGGGGGCTAGGAGGCAGGCTGGAAGCGGAACAGGCGGGGGACCGGAGAACGGGTATCAAGCGGCAGGGCGGCAGGCTTTAAACGCTCTAGAAGCAGCTAATGAAGACGAGGAGGCTGCAGACCCTTCTTATAGGGAGGAAGCGATCCCCCCGAGTGAAGACAGGGATTCTGAGGATGACGGGGAAGCAATGCAGCAGGGTGGAGGAACAGAGTTAGGAACACGAGAGTTGGCCCCACAGCCAGGAGCAGGGCAGGGACCGTCAGATACCGATCGGACGGTGGTAATTCCAACCGTCGCACGGAACGCGAGGCCGTGCCGCTCCCGCCGAGCTAGAACTGTCAACATTGGGAACTCGCCGCTGCCAGCACCCCACAGGGCGCGCTATTTTTCACCAGAGGAACTGGCGAAGCTGGAAGACAAGTTTGCTGACATAGCGACATGGGACATGTCAGCCCTGTGCGACAGTCGACAACCGTCGTTGTCACGAAGATTACCGCCAAATCTATGCCAACTGTTCTCGCTGGCATTACTGACCCCGCTACTCTACTTGTCGCGTAACCCGGATTCGGAAGCGGGCTGGCGCCTGCTCCTCTTTTTACCCCGCCTGGCACTTCGCCAAACATCGCCGAGACGCCCCGACTGGCCCCAAATCAAGGCCCGGCTCCGAGCCTTCCAACGTGGCGAATGGAACCAGCTGTACCAGGACGCAGTAAACGCGGTCAACACGCCCCCTGCGCCACGACATCAACCCGACTCGACCGGGGTCATCAGCCGAGCCGAGGGTCTGGCGAAACGTGGTAGCCTGAGACGCGCGGTGCTGGCCCTCGAGTCAACACCGGTCTGTACACCTAGCCCGGAAATTTTGACCGAACTTCGCAACAAGCACCCGGCAGCGGAGGCCGAGCCGTTGACCTGGCATTCAGTTCGCGAAGCGGATCTGAACATCGCCTACGCTGATTTCGCCAAACTGCTGGGAAGATGCGAAAACGGTGTAGGGGCGGGACCGTCTGGCATGACTTTGGAACATCTGCGAGACGCGGCGGTAACCAACGCCTGGGTCAGCACCCATCTGCACGCCCTGGTCAATACACTGTTGGGGGGAAACCTGCCGGGCCCGGTGGCAGACCTGTTGACTTCGTCGCGCCTCGTCGCGTTGGCC